AAATTTCAGTTCACAGCTTAGCACCCGTACCACAGCGCCAGCCACATACACCGAGGGTGATAGATTTGAACCTGGCCCAGGCCAGCTAAACAACTGCAACAAAAAAAGCCAGTTGTTATGGCATGTTCCTGTAATCCCAGCTAGTTGGGAGGCTGAGGCAAGGGATTTGCTCTAGCCCAAGAGTTTGAGGTTGCTGTGAGCTGTGACGCCATAGCACTCCATCGAGGGCAACGAACTGAGACTCTGTGTCAAAAAAAAAAAATTTTAGTTCACTATTCTGTACTCTCCCAAAGTTGTCTCTACACTCTAGACTTTAACATGCACTGCTTTTTCTTGCTGTTAGAGAACTTAGCCTCTGCCTGCCATTGTCCTATGAGCATATTCATGTCACAAAATCTGTCTCGAAACAGCACCCACATTTACAAACTCTCTAAATTTGTCACTAGAATAACATAGTTAAAAAATCATTAAATATACATGCTAATCTACATTATACAAAAGAGAAAAAATGAGATAAAAAACCATATTTATAATAAGATAATTTTGCTAGACTTGTTAAACTCACCATGGGATATATTGCTTCATATCATAATCTGAAAATTGTCTCCCTAATTTTGTAAAAATCCTCTTTTGTAAACTCCTTTATCACATTTATAATATAATAAACATTTCCACACAATAATCTCATTTCCACTATAAAATATTTTAGGAAATTTAACCAAATTGTATTTCCTAAACATTGTTTTTTTATTTGTTTGTTTGAGACAGAGTCTCCCCTCTGTTTCCCAGGCTGAAGTGCTATGCCATCAGTTTAGCTTGAAGCAACCTCAAACTCCTGAAATAAAGTGATCCTCCAATCTCAGCCTCTTGAACAGATGGCAACATTGGCCCCCACCACCACACCTTTAGTAGAGAGGTAGTCTTGGCTCTTCCTCAGGCTGGTCTTGAACTCCTGAGTTAAAGTTATGCCCCGACTCCACCTCCCAGAGTGCTAGGATTACAGGTGTGACACCAAGATATGTATAAAGACTATTACCAGGCAGTGCCTGTGGCTCAAAGGAGTAGGGTGCTGGCCCCATATGCCAGAGGTGGTGGGTTCAAACCCAGCCCCAGCCAAAAAAAAAAAAAAGAATATAAACCAAAGGATATGAAATAGATCCTAAATACAGGAAAAGAAAATTGAGCCAAGTATAAAAATCCATTTTATATATACACTTCCACAAAATAAAGAAAATTATGAACACTTACAACAAATTGAAAAATATTAACACAAAGGTTTGTCATTTTCCTAAGGTTTTCAAAATTTTTTTTTTTTTTTGAGACAGAGCCTCA